CAGCGGTAGAGGCAGGAGGATCAGGACTGAGAGCCTAGCCTCTCCTACAGTTTGAGGGTAGCCTGGATTACAAGAGATTCTGAACGGGGTGGAGTATTCAGATATAGCGGCTACATGCTCCCCTTTTTTTTTCCACTGTGACAACTTTTCTCTTTTCATTAGGTAATTCTCACTAAAAGTAATTCTTGATGCCATTAAATTAGTTAATTTCTGTCATTTTTTAAACTGTTGAACATTGCCTTTAAAAGGTCTTGTTTCCTTTCGTTGCATTTTTGAGTTTCTATTATTCCATTTCTTCACCTCTGCATCTCTGCGGCACAACAATCACATTTATCTTTTTCTGTTGGATTAGTGCTTGTCTTAGAGTTTGAAATGTAATTTTGCAGTTGGTGTGTCTACCTCTTTGCGTTTGGAACAAGTACGATATCATGGGCTCTTCACACGTCTTTATTCCCTTCTCTAATGTCTCCCTTGTCATTCATTTCTCTCGTCCGTGACATAGAGTCACCCGATGGGCTGTCACTGTCATGAAACAGTTAACTTTACTGTCAACTCATGTTAAGAAAAACAAAGCATTTGATTATACCTTTGTTTATCCCTTTAACACTTTATTATATCCGAATTTCTGGCCTAATCATCTTTTCTGTTCCCCTGAGAGCTTCTTTAACACGGTGGCAGTGTGGGTCTGCTGCTGCTGGTTCCTCTTAGTTCCTCTCATGTAGAATAAGACTCTTAGATTACAAATAATTCTCTCATTTTAGAGAGAATTGTCAGTTGGGACAGCCTGTCTCACCTTGGGCAAGCAACGTCGGGAAGGAGAGATTGCAGGAGGGGAAGGGTGGTCTATGTGCTGCAACCATTTCCACATTCCTAAGACCCTCACCCAACCTCCAGTAAAGGGTCACGATGATGTGGGATGGCCTTCTGTCCATGTGTTGCTTTTATCGGTTGATGAATTAAGCTGCTTTGGCCTATAGCAGGGCAGAATATAGCCAGGCTGGGAGAGATATAGAAAGAGAGTAGGCGGAGTAGAAGAGACACCATGTAGCTATTAAAGGAAAAAGATGCCAGAACAGAACCTTACTCAGTAAGCCACAGCCTCATGGCAATACACAGATTAATAGGGATGGGTTAATTTTAAGATGTGTTAGTTAATAAGAATCCTTAGCTAATAGGCCAAGCAGTGCTGTAATTAATATTCTGTGTGATTATTTTAGCCTGGGTAGCCGGGAAATGAATGAGCAGCCTCAGATTACACACAGCCAATTTTTTTCTCTACAGACTCTTCAGCTTCCTAAGGGAGAGAGTGTGCCAACAAATACATTCCCTCTGTCGAAAGGTCAGACTCCTGTCTCTTTTTGTCTCCCGTCCCTACAAGCTGCCTCAGATTCTAACAGGAGACAGAGGATTTGGAAGGATAATTTCCGTGGATATAGAATTCTAAGCTGGCAGATTTGCCTCCTTCAGTGATTTAACTACCTTACCAACCCTCTTCTTTCTGATGAGAACTCATCTGTGATCCTGCTTAGTTCCTTGCAGGCTGGTTATGTTTTTTCTTCCCCTTTCATTTAAGCTTTTCTCTGCGTTGGCACCTCTAAATTTTGACTATCGTGCAGCTTGGACTTTGTTGTTTGGTCGGTGGTCTTGTTTCACTTTAGGGCGCTGAAATGAAACCAGGGTCTTCAGCATGAGAAGCAAGTCCTCACGGGTCCTCTATCTCTGAATTCCCTGCACTGAAGATCTAGTGCCCATTGTTCTTCTGAAAAATCCTTGGCCATTTTTATTTCGTATATGCCACCCTGTGGCATTCAAATTACATGTATTATTCCTTTTGAAGTTGTACCATTGTTTCTTAGATGACTTAGTACTGTGAGTACTTAAGTGGAAGTCACTGGACTGAGCCACTCCGTGGGTAGAAAGAAAGGTTTCTTAGGAATCAAACTGCCAAGGCCACCTCTCAGAGACAGAAAGAAGAGCAGAACAATGGACTAGCAAGCTGGTTTTTATATGACCATCTGCAGTGGGGTGTGTGGTTAGGGTGTCTTTGAAATGTCCAGGCTGTTTAGATTGACCACAAGTCTCTGATAAAGTGGTTTTCTCTGAAAGGCAAAACTTTGCTACAGAGAACACACGCTTAGGAGATCATTACAAAGGACTTACACCCCTGATGCCCACTCCATCACCACTACCCAAAACGCCAGTGACTTCTAAAGACAGGTTCCAATTTCATTGAGAGAGGTTGGTTGGCAGTAGATGGATTTTTTTCTTTGGGCTGCCAGCTCACAAAAAAAAAATGACACAGAGACTATTATTAACTATGAAAGCCCAGCCTATTGCTTAGGATCTTCCACTAGCTCTTGTAACTTAAATTAACCCATCTCTGTTCTTCTACGTGTTACCATGTGACTCGAGGCTTTGACCTCTCCTCCTGCATGTCTTGCTTCCCTGTGTCTGGCTTCTTGGAGGTAAAATAAATCTAAGAGTGGGAAGCCCTTCTAAGATTGCATTCACAGGAGATTTAGCTCCCAAGTTGGCCTTTGGATCAGCTTCTAGTTGGCGAGTTGCTATTGTGTTATTGGCTTTGGCAGTTTCAGTCCTTTATAGCTGTAAGTTCTATGTAATTGCCTATCTAGTTTTTCAGTGGTGATGGATTGCCCTGGTAATCTTGGCTTTCTGATGAATCAAGGAAAGGTTGGTATTTTCAGTTTATTTGGATTTTTTTCCTGCTGTGGGGATAGGAATGACAACATGCAAGCACAAAACTGCACCTGGCAAATACTTCTGCAACACTGATGGCCCCTCTTTAAGTCTTCCTTGATCCCTTAAAAGCCACACAATCCAGGGTAATCACTAAAAATCTCTTAGCGTTGCCTGAACTCCAAAGAGAAATTAGAGTTCACCACGAGGTACTTCCTCAGCTTCCTGCCCTGTGGACCACCCTCTTGACCCCATCAGTGTGCCAAAGGAAGAGGAGTTCCTTCTGAGATGACTCTCTCTTGTTTGCACTAACCCCCAAAACTTCCCACCTCTTTCAGTGGTTTGTCCCCATACACATACTCCCCCCCAAGTATGTGTGTGTGTGTGTGTGTGTGTGTCCTTTTTCTCCTTTAGCCATTGCAATTGCATAGACTTTGCATCACAGTGACAGATATCTTAGAAAAAACAGTTTAAGAGGAAATCAGTTTGCTCTGGCTTAGAGTTTCAGAGCTGCTAGCCCACCATGGTAGAGAGGGCATGATGGGAACACAGAGGCTCTGTTCATGATGGCCAGGAGACAGAGAGATGCCCACACTAGCAGAAGCCTTCCTTCTGTATTCCATCCAGGCCTCTGGTGTATTTGATGGACACCTAGAGTAAGGGCCTATCTTCTGCATGGGGCCTTGGTTATAAAACAAGGTTCCTATGAGATTTCAGATGCCCTTACTCAACCAGTCCAGTATGGATGTCTGTAGAGATAGCCTGTCTCCCAAGGTAGGTCTGCCTCACCTTGGGCAAACAGTTACCAGAAGGAGAGTCTGTAACAGACCCTATAGCTGCAACAATGTCTTCATCCCCGAGCCCATCACCCTGTCCCCTACAAAGGGCCACAGTCAGCTGTGGCACCCTGACAAACCCTTCTCCATTTGGGAGAAATGCTTCCTTTGCCATGTGTGCTAATAAACACAGTCCTGTTTGTTGAAGATCAGATGCTGTTTTCTTGTTTTGTTTTTTGGGTTTTCTTTTTACTCTTTTTGGTTTTTTTTGGGGGGGGGCACCCAGCTCCCAAATAAATCATACATAGAGTCTTTCTTATAAAGGCCCAGCCTTTGCTTGGCTTGTTTCTAGCCAGCTTTTCTTAACTTATCCCATCTACCTTTTGCCTCTGGGCTTTTCCTTTTCTTACTTCTGTGATTTTCCTTTCACTCTTACTCCATGGCTGGGTGGCTGGGTGGCAGGTGGCTGGCTCGCCCCTTCTTTCCTTGCTCCTTCCTTTTTTCTCCTCCCAGATTCCTCCTCCTATTTATTCTCTCTGCCTGCCAGCCCCACTTATCCTTTCTCCTGCCTCGTTATTGGCCGTTCAGCGCTTTATTAGACCATCAGGTGTTTTAGACGGGCAAAGAATCACAGCTTCACAGAGTTAAACAAATGCAACATAAAAGAATGCAATGCATCTTTGCATCATTAAAACAAATGTTCCACAGCATAGACAAATGTGACACATCTTAAAATAACATTCCACAGCAGTCAGACTCTGGTATCTTTCCCCCTTCTGTCTTTGTTACGCTGTCTCAGAAATCTAACATCCTTGCTCCTGAGTTTGAGATGCCAGCACAAATGCACTGAGGTGTGCTTTATTAATCTCTACATACTTCTCAAGCCATTCAAGTGAACAGTAAAGATTCACAGGTCTGGCGAGTCCACTCCCTGTTGAGTTGGCATCCAAACACATCTCCCATCTTCTTAAATCATAGCATACCACCAGTGATGCCCTAAAATCTCATGTCCATCCCACAATGCAAAATATGTACTCCAAGAATACCTATGATATTAACAGTTAAATATTGTTTAAAAGTCCAAGTTCAAAGTTTTCTCTGAGGATCAAGATAAATTCTTTAGAAATATGCTCCTATAAAATCAAAACAAATTGACTTCCAAAATACATAGCACAGAGTATTCTCTTTCCAAAGGGGGTGGGAGAGGATTATAGCATAGAAAGGAAATACGGGAAAGCAAGACTGAAATCTACCAGTACAAGCATTAAACCCTGTAATTCCATGTCTAGTGTCAAAGGTACATGGCATAAGGTGAGCTTCCAGGGGCTTCGACAAACCCATCCCGAGGGCATCGCTCAGTGCAGCCCACCTCGCTTCTCCCTGTAGTCGCTGCCTTCACCTTTGCTTGCAGAACACCACGTGTCTGGCATCGCCAACATCCTGGTGTCTCCCCTATCTCTCCTACTTCACTCTTACAGCTTGCTGTGCTGACCTCTCTGGACCTGCCTGCAGGGATCTTGTTCTTACTGTCACTGCCTGGCCTCCTAGGACTTTCTCTAAAATCTGAGCAGAAGTTTCTATGACCACATAACTCATGCAAGCCTGGAAAATGAGTATCCTGTGGAAAATGCCAGGGTCTACTGCCAGCTGCAGCAGCTGAGACCCTTGTACCTTCTCCTTCTGCTTCTGCTGCCCATCAGAGTTCCTCACCTATTAATCAGAGTTAGTCCAAAAGCTGTATCATACTGGAGTCTAATGATAATAAATGCTCACTCCCTTCTGACTGTTCAAAATATATTTTATATTATTGTTTGGGGTGCTTTGTGGCTCTTGTAGCTGTAATCTGACGTCATCACACTGCAGCTCTGCAGCATTTAAAATCCTGTGGGGATGTCCTATCAGGAACTCACCAAGGCCAGCTGGCGTGGTCTGAAAAAGCCTGGGTTAAAACCAGTCTCGCTGAACATAGAGGACAATGAGGACTACTGAGACCCCAAGAACAATGGCAATGGGTTTTTGATCCTACTGCACCTATTGGTTTTGTGGGAGCCTAGGCAGTTTGGATGCTCACCTTACTAGACCTGGATGGAGGTGGGTGGTCCTTGGACTTCACACAGGGCAGGGAACCCTGATTGCTCTTTGGGCTGACGAGGGAGGGGGACTTGATTGGGGGGGGGGGAGGGAAAGGGGAGGCGGCCGTGGGGAAGAGACAGAAATCTTTAATTAATTAATAAAGAAATAAATTTTAAAAAAATAAAATAAAACAAAAAAATAATAAATAAAATCCTGTGGTCAATCTCACCACAGAATTAGTGTTTAAAAAAACCTAGCTTATTTACTTATGTGTATGGTTGTTTTTTCTGCCTCTGTGTGTGTGTGTGTGTGTGTGTGTGTGTGTGTGTGTGTGCACCACATGTGTGCAGTGGCTAAGAGACCAGAAGAGCGCACTGGATCCCCTGGAACTTACAGACAGTTGTGAGAGGCCATGTGGGTGCTACAAATGGAATCTGGGTCCTCTGGAAGATCAGCTGGTACTCTTAACTCTCTAGCCCCCAGAATTCATAGTTTAAGGTGTCTACCAGTTTATAGCTGGAAAGTTCTGCCATAGTAGGTAGATCCTGCCTGTTTCTGTTTTTGGGTTTTCTCCAGATTTCTATGTTGATCACTACATGGCAACCTCAATTTTATGATGGGTTAAATACACACACACAAAATCTATGTTCAAGATTTTTTTGGTTTTATGTTCTTGTAAGGACAAGTGCGATGATTTCTGATCTCTGTACCTGTCAGAGCTGCGTCTGCAATTCTACTAGTTCATTTCAATTAATTAAAATTGAAATGTAAAAACTGATACTTGAATGAGTTACTGGAAAATCGTATGTGTGTTTAGAACAATCTGAAGGTAAGAGCCTAATTTTTACAATTACAAATTATATTCAATCCATATGTAGTTTGTGTTTCCAATGAAAATTTACCATTCAAATTGAGATAATTTAAAATATACATATTCCAAGTGTTAGAATGTAAAAAAGAAGGTAAAGATATCTCATTACTATTTTGCGATGTTATTTTACAATAATTTAAGAAATTATTAAAATTATGTTGGGAGGGGCTGAGCTAACTTTTAAAACTGAAATTAACCCGTTTATAGTCATCTGTATTCTGCCACATGGCTCGTTACCTCTCCTCAGTACCATCCATCTGACTCCCTCAGATGCTGGTGAATCTCCAGCGCCTCAGACTCTTTCCCCAGTTCCTATCTCTGCCCAGAAATCCCATGGATCCTCTACTGCCTAGCTATTGGCTGTTCAGCTCTTTATTAAACTAATCAGAATTGCCTTAGGCAGGTGAAGTTAAACAGAGACACATCTTCACACAGTGTACAAAAAGATTGTCCCATCAGATTGAAGTGGTTTGGGGTGTGTGTGTGTGTGTGTGTGTGTGTGTGTGTATGCGTGTGCGTGTTACTTGAGGTTGGTTCATTAAGGTTCCTTTTGTTTTTAGTTTTTGAGATGCTATCTTACTATGTAGCCCAGGCTAGCTTATGACTTTCAATCCTCCTGTCTCAGCCTCTTAAGTTCTGGGACTTCATAACTGAGGGACCATATATGACATTTCCGTGTTTTGCTGTTTGTTTTGCGGGTTGGATCTAACCCAGAGTCGTATACATTCTGGGCGGGACCTCTCCCACTGAGCTGCGTCTCCAGCCCCTGAGAATTCTCCCTCTGTGTTACGGCTCTCGCACACATCAGACAACATTGAGCCATTCTTCCGGCAAATGTTTGACTGCCCCGATTGCTCACATCTCTTTCTGGTGATGATACGCCACGCTGCATCAGTGTTTGCAGAGCCGCTGACATTTTCCCTGCGCTCTCGCTCTCCCAGTGCACTCTGGATAAATTCCGCTGCTGTGCCTTTCTGTATAACATTTCCTCTCGTACGCTCTTAAGCCCATGATAGGAAAGTGTTCATTTCTGGCGTTTCGCTTATCAATTCTAGGGGTTTTCAGTTTGTGCTTATATAGTCTATTTTTTCTGTCATACTCATTTTTCTCTACAGTCCTGAACACACGGGTGCATTTATAGCATCTGTTGCAGCGTCTTTTCCTGTTTGCTCAGCCTCCCCATCCTTTGAAACCCAGTCTTCATGTCAGAGTCTCTCCCGATAGCCTCGGTTTTCTTCTATCCCGTGTGGAATGAGTCCTATTAGAAACTGCATGCTGTGACTTATACACTGTTGGTTGCTTGATTTCAGTTTTCTCTTTTATAAAAAAAAAAATATCCTGAACTATATTCTTAGCTGCAGCTATTAGCTCAGGGTTTTTTTTTTTTTAATTTTGTTTTGTCTTGTTTTTTTTGTCTTTGTTTTTGTTTTGAGGCAGTATCTCACTCTATAACTTTGGCTGGCCTGAAACTTGTATAGACCAGGCTGCCCTTGAACTTATAGAGATAATCTTACTCTGCCTCCCAGGTGCTGAGATAAAAGAGTGCATCCCCAAATCTGACTGAGTTTGATTCTTTTGTTTTTATGTTCCTCTAGGGTAAGTTTTTACTTCAAGGCTATACTGACCCCACTTCTAAGGCTTAGCCTTTTGGATGCTCTGGGGCTCCCAAAGTTTCTTGCACATCTTTCCACCCTCAGTTATTGGAGAGACAATGATATCTAGTTCACACGGTCCAGATGCGGCTATAGCAAATGGTGTGTTTTGTCTCATATTTAGCGAAGGGATCATCTGTGTGTTTACGTGTGCAAGATTGGATTTTACATTCATATGATATGTTCTCAGATTGAGACAATGTGATCAGAGGGCATTTGTACATTATGTTTTTTTTTTAAAAAAAAATAATTCATTTTCTCCTAGGTATGTATGCCTGAATATACGCATATGTACCATGTGCACACAGTCCTCAAAAGAGGCCAGTAAGAGGCACCACATCCCTGGAACTGGAGTTATGGGCCCCGTGTAGCTGCTGGGGCTCCATGGAGATGCTGGGAACTGAGGGTCCTGTGGAAGAGTGGTGAGCTCGCTTAGCTGCTGAGCCACCTCTCTGGCCCTTGTACATTCTGCTTTCACTGCTATTGTCAAATGCTTCCCAAAAGGGTTTGCAGTGCGTCAGCTCTCCACCAAGACTGCAGGAAAGCAGCTGTCCTCTCCTCTGCGGTAGACATTGGCACTCCAAGTTTTGGCAGCACAAATAAGGATTACATTTTGTCACTTTAATTTGTTTCCTTGACAACTAGCTGGGCCTCTGTTCACTAGAACTTTGGGCTTACTTTTTTTCCCCTTAGGATATTGTCTTCTTAGGGTTTCTGTTGCTGTGAGGAGACGCCATGACCACAATAATTTTTCTAAAGGGAACGATTTCACTGGGGCTGGCTTTCAGTTCAGAGGTTAAGTCCATTATTGTCAGGGAGGCAAGTATGGCGGCGTGCAGGCAGACATGGTGCTGTAGGGGTAGCTGAGAGTTCTACAACCAGATCGGCAGGCAGCAGGAAGGGAAAGAGACACTGGGTCTGGATTGAGCATCTGAAGCCTCGGAGTCCACCCTGGTGGCACACTTCCTCCAACAAAGTCACACCTACTCCAACAAGGCCATTCCTGCTAATGGTGCCACTCCCTGTGACGATGGGGGCCAGCTTTATTCAAATCACCACAGATTCACCACAGATACATTTTTACGTGCTCAGTTTCTTTTAAGTCGAGATTTTAATTATTAACATTTTCGCAAAATCATCCAGCTCCTTTTTGTCATAAATTCGACACAGCAGCACTGTCATGAAGAAGACCGCTTGGACAGGAGTTCAAGCTGGTAGAAAGTCTTTCTTATCCAGCCGGTGGGTACACTGGGTGTTTGTTACCTCAGTTGAGTCCTAAGCCTTTCTTGGGGTGAGCTCTCAAGCACAGAGGCACATCCTAGTGCAACACTCCTCGGTTAGAAAGAACAGCTAGCCAGGAGCAGAGCTACAGAAGCCAGAAAGCAAGGCTAGTCCTTTAGGGGTTCCCCCAGAACTATGGACTGTGATGGAGTAGGTCATTTTGTCAGTTGTTGCTACCCGTGTGCTGAGTTTCAAGGCCCGAATGGTACTTCCATTCGTGGCATCTGTTGTGCTAAGGTCTGGGGACCTGTAACACTCTTCCACTGGTTCTATGGCCATGAGTCAAATTATGAACTCATGGGGGCAGGGGATATATTATCTCCTTAGAACTGGTGGATCAATATAATGTATTTCCTGAATAAGTACTCCATTGAGCAAGTCAGGTCCTTCAGCAAGAGTAGGAGCAGAAGGATTAATGGCCCAGCCATGGCTGTAAGCAGAGTGGTTATTTAGGGGGAGCAGAAGAACCAAAGTTGATGCAGCTGTTAGACTTTTGATGTCTCCTTTTCCTTTCTTGAAGGGTACTTTTAATCAGGTCTAAACTTCCTCTAACTGTCCCTCACTGACTGGTATAGGGGCAACGAGACTCTGCCAGTGTCTTACAGAGGCCTCCCTGTCTCCCAAAGAGGAGGCCCAGTCCTCTTTGATCATGAAGAATAACCTTGGCTAAGGAATCTAAATGGGCTTCTAGACAGGAAGAACTTTCTAGATGGCTCAGGTCTATGTTTGCTTTAGCACTGAGTTCCTAAAAGTTTTATCTCCCATAACTAGGGCTGAAGTTCCAAGGACAGTGGAGCCTGCAGTACCTGCTCCCACCAGCAGGGGAATGAGAATGGAGAGAGATTGCTGTACCTAGGGAGGCTCACAATCTAGGTTGGGGGCCACGCCTTTCTTGTTTATTATAGATGAACACCTGTGGTATAACATGCACAAGGACACAAAGACTGGGTTCTTCTGCAGTGTGAGCAATTTAGAAACTGTAAAGAGGACCCCAGTATAGACTCCAGCTCGCTAACAAAGACTTTCTGTTGGCTTAAACCTGTGTCTGAGTAGTCTTCTCTGGTGGGTACCTCCTAAGAACATGATTCTGGTTGTCCTCTCTGAGGCTGGGTCTGCTTTCTTACACCCTTTTCCCTTCTTTTTATATAAAACTTTCATTTATTCATCCTTTCCAACTTTTATCCTATTTCATAGTTCAGCTTTGCCTTACTCCATTTCTTATTTTTGTTTACTTTGACATAAGAAGAATGTTAAATTATTTTACTTTTAATTTTTAAGTGGTAAAGATATTTAATATTAAGTTATATCTGGAGCACTCATTATGCTCTGTGCTACAGATTTTAGTGGACAATGGGTTTTTTTTTCATTGTTTTCTGGAATCTTAGTTTCATGTTAGGGGTGTGTGTGTGTGTGTGTGTGTGTGTGTGTGTGTGTGTGTGTTTATCCAAGGATTACCTTAAATGTAGTTCTTATCACAGTTGGGCATGTGTGTTTGTGGGTTCAAAATATTCAACCAACTTCAGACCAGAGTATTTTTAGTAAAAACTGTTTGCTGTGATCAAATACAGACTATTCCCTGAGCAACACAGTATAACAGCTATTTACATAGTATTGGTATTATACAAAACTTTATATGAAATTTAGAAATTATTTAAAAAGAGAATGTGTGGCTTATATTAATCTATGATACCATCTCATATAAAGGATTTGACCATACATGGACTTTAGTATCTATGGGGATTCTGAGACTGTTCTGAAAAATGAAAGCGTGGCTGGAGGGTTTTGCTTGTTTGTTTGTTTTAAGATTTATTTTTGTATTAATTTACATGTATGTGTGTGGGTCATGAATGTTTGTCACATGTGTTCAGGTGCCAATGGAGGCCAGAAGGGAGTATAAGATCCGGAACTGGAGCTACAGGGAGGTGTAAGCCACTCCATGTGAGTGTTGGAAACTGGTCCCTAGTCCTCACATGGAGCAGCATGTGCTC